GTATATGGTCAGGGTTAGGCTATATAGTCTAAAAAACATGAATGGTAGTCAATGGAAGGTCCCCAAGGGGTCGAGAAACAAACATATAGGATATAAAATTACAAAAAAATAAATTGAAGTAAATGGAAGGGCCCCACAAGGATTAAAAAACAAGTTTGTGTGTGTGTGTGTGTGTGTGTGTGTGTGTGTGTGTGTGTGTGTGTGTGTTTGCGTTGATAACTATAGGGTAGAAAAATATCCTACATAGCACCCACAGCAAAATGCTTAGTCCCTCCTTAGCACTGGCAGAAAAAAAATTCTGGAGCCGCCACTGCAAGGGGGGGCATAACCTAAAATAACCTAAAAGGCTTCACCTCTGACATTTACAGATAACCTTTCATTCGCTTGCTACAACCGCTTCGGTCGCAAACAAAATATCAGGTCACATCGTTCCACCTGAACTCACACAGCCATGTTGGAGGACTTGATCACCGCTGACCCTGACTTTGGCACACACACTCCGGCAGACGGGACAGCCGCAAACTGTCATCTGACGGCTCTGAGAGCTGAACAGAGATCTTTGTTCCTGGAGGTGCCTGCGAGGGCTCTCATGGCAACAATGAATGACTCCATTTAGAGGTTTGCCGCCTCTTGTGTTGAACGCTGACAGAAGTCGTGACATTTGCCATCAAACCCRGTGTCCCCGTGTGCTTTTACTTCTGTTTCACCTGAAGCTGCTTATTTGCTGGTTTTAATAGTTAAAGGGGTCGTATGAAAAATCCACTTTTTGAGCCATTAAATGCATTTTGTTGTGTACTTGGGAGTTTCTAGGAGTGCAGAAAGTTTGAATTTAGTCCCTCCAGGTGCAGCGTAAATATCTTTATATTCTGTTGTGGTCAAAAACATTTAACTRGTTCAGTTTTTTTCTATTTTCCATGCTGTTTTCAGAACTATTATGTCACAATATTTGTGATGGAGCTGCCAAACAAGATCTGGACTTGCCAACTCCAATTTTAATGTCTTTATGCTCCTCTGGCTCTGGGTCAGACTCTGGCTCCGGGTCAGACTCTGGCTCCAAACACGTAAGGATGGACACGTCTTCCCTTGTTGACATCTTTTAATTAAGTGAAGTGCCTTGTTTGGATTTAAAGAGYCAGCATCAAAGCGAGTTGATCTGAGTCACACCTCAGAAAAGGGGTAAAAGAGGGGCCCGTGGAGTTCAGATAAATAGGCATTCAGACCACAGCATTGCAGTTCCACTTTTTATAGACCCCAYCTAAATGATTTAAATGTGAAAAAGAAGGATTTAAAGGCACATGTTTCCTCTAAAGCATTTCTTTAATCGCAAACTCAACAATAAACTGCTTGTCTGCGCTAACATTTTGATTTTACTCCCTATTTTTACATAATGAAACAAAGAGTGTTAGAGAAGACCAATCGGCGTCGTTCTGTTCTGTTTAGATTACAGAACATACTTCTCAGTCTCCTATGCAGATTGTCTTTGTTCATGCAGCAGTTAGTGGTTATTAGAAATTTAGTGTAACTTCCTGTTTTGACAGGAAATTATTTTTTTTATATAAAAGTAAATTAATATCAGATTACTCATAGATTTCTTGGATTTTATCACATAAAATGAGAAACAGGAAATATTTTACATATTTGGTTATCTTTGCAAACAATTACGCACCGAAGAAATGCATTTCCGTTCAGCTTGGTGAACATGGGTTTGACATTTCTTATCTTCATGTTTCTTATGTAAATGTCCCAGAGCGGAACATTTACACCAGATTACAGAAAATYTAGGTTGGCGCTTTTTAAGTCAATTCTATCCACAACGAAATGTGTTTCCTTTCCTTTATTTTATTTTTCTTGTAAATCATTTTAAATGAAATATTTGGTGTTCACAATTTACTCATTGCACAGAGATATCTTCTGTTGACTTTTTAACAACAGTGAGAAACATTCTGACTAAGCAGATTTTTCTGGAGCACTGTGGCATTGTCTAACCATGACATCAATAATCATGATGCTTAGGTTTCATTTGCAGTTTTCAGCCTCTAAGGTCTTAAGTTGCAAAAAAAAAAAAAAATAGACAAAGATTTCTAACTATGCATTATTACGCCTGCTATATTAGGTGACAGTTTCTAAATGAAAGTAAAAAATTCCAAACAGAAATATCCTCTTGTAGCATATTTTCTTGAACACAAAAATCTGATTTTTCTCTAAACACATCTTTGTTAAACTAATCCAGCCCCAATTCTACCCACTCCCTCGAACTACAGAGCTAATTCAAATCAAGTCCCTAATGGCAACTTTATGTTTTTAATATTGCTGTCTTTCCATTTTTTTATTCTTTGTTTTTTTTTATTTTTCAGCTGTGTCAGATCATCTTGCCATTGTGGAGACAGTAAATAATAGCGTACTTTGTCAGATATCAAACTAACTACGCTGTGAGACGATATAGCATTTTAACAATAGAGATATTTCAGCTCACAGGCTTGACTTCAGGTCATCTGGTAATAAAGGAGATGTTTCAAGGAGAGAAATGTTAACCTATGCTCCTGTGCTGCCCAAAGTGCCCTTGTGGAACACAATATAGAGAGCCAGTTTCTGTACAGAGCTGTTGTCCCTGAAGGGGAGAGTAAAGAAAATGAGGAAGTTATTTTATTTGTTTTGTTCTTCAGATCAAACTTATTGCTCTGTACAGTATCTTCATAATACGTCTGGCTGTCAGGCTCATTATTTGACAAGGTGAACTAGTATTAAAGCAGCTTTCAAAAACCTGCTGCACARCAAATCAAGCCCAAGGGTTAAAATATGAATAAGTAAGAGTTTTATATTTTCTAAATTTAAAAGTACAAGTTTTATATCAGTCTTTATCAAAAAGTGTGTACGATATTTTAACAGTTCAGTCTACTAAGGATGACAAAATATTTAAGGTGGCAAAACAAGCAATTTATAACTTAGAGCACATCATTATGACTATGATGCACATTTTTTCCCATCCACGATTAGTTTTGTTACATATTTTTCTTAATTATCTGATCTAGAAGATTCCAGCAGCTGACATACCCATAAAAAACACACTCAAAGCTAGAACATATTTTCAGACAACTGGCTRGTGAACATGTTTATTTTTTACAGATGAAACATTAAATTTACATATATTTACAGATGTAGATATAATCATTACCTACTAAAGCTCCTGACATTCAGTGTAATTATTAAACACAATTTTCAGTATCAAATTAAAGAACCCCAAACCTGGCCCCTCTAATATGTGGGGTGGGGGGTGAATAAATTCACGTTGCACAGCTCGTACCAGCAGTAAAGTTAATTCACAGTGTTAAAGTACACACTCATCCAAATTCATGTCAAGTATATCAGCACATTCAAATCCACAGACAGCATGTGAGAAACAAGTATAAAGATATTTCTTCAAGGTTCCTAGGAGGAGATATGCAGTAACGGATCAAGTCATGTTCTCAAACAATGAGTGCAAGGACACATGACGACTTCAGGAAACTTCAAAAATTGGTCAAGTTTTTTTTTTTTTTTTGCTCAAATGAGGTAGAGAGTTTTTACTTCCTCTTAAACGAAACCATTTGAAGTTGTCGCAGCATGCGTTAATAATTATTCCAAAAGCCTTGTGCAACATTATCAAACAGCTTGGATAACAGCTTTGGGGGGGTTATAAAACCAAAACATCTCCTGATATGTTTAAATGCATTACAGCAAAGAAAGCAATATCATTAGGACCACCTGGAAACTGATATTGAAAATCAGTCATTTGTTCGTACTCAGAAGTTGATTTTTGAAGTTCTGAGTAAAATAAATAAAGATAAAATTGAACACTCTCAGAAGATAGCCGCAGAAATGTTTTATTTGCACTTCTGTTAGATTGCATCTCTTTATATCAGTTGCAGACACCGAGCTGTTCATTTCCTGTTGGTGAACGGTGTTACAGTGTTAGACCACACACACACACACAAAAATGCAAATATATTATTTATTGCTAAGGTTTGCCTAATTACTCCACATGTTTGCAAGTTAAATAAGTCAGGAGATGTTTCCAGATCCATGTCCCAACTTCCAAGGCGAAAAGAAGGCGAAACAATTGTTCTGGTCCCAAAAAAGCAGAGAAGCAGGGTATAGGCCTCTATTTTTGCTTTTAGAAAAAAGTAGACCCTTTTTAGAATCAATGGAATAAATATTTCTAACGTAATTCTTTGGTGTGCTCATTTATAAAAGCTCCACTTGATTGCTGTCTCTGAATTTGAGTGCCGACACTAAACGTTTTACAAACTATACATATAAATACAAAAACTTTCCAAACCCTTTTAGAAAAGGTCTTCATAATTTACTTTTGAGATACTTGCAGTGCTGCTCAGAATCAGCAAGTAAAAGACTGTAAAGGAGAGTTTACATGGACGTTAGCTTTTGGCTCTCCTGCACTGTACTGTAAATTCCTTTTGACTTGCACTGATGTAAAGCTCGTGGGTTTTGTCCTTAACGCTATAGGAGATTCACTTTCTGTGAGCAGATAAGGTCACGGTTGACCAGATTCCACATGTGCAAGAGGTCTGAGGGGAGCAGCTTGTGCACCACTATCATGTTTTTAAAGAAACAAGGTTCTCTGTTCAATTTGCTATTCTTATTTTTCACCAAGCCGAAAGTCTTAAAGGCGTAGTGTTTTACGGGTGTGACCTGCAGCACTTCAAGACACATGCCCAGGAAGACATCATCGATGGGGTAAAGCTCAAGTGTTTCTGAAGCATAGTGAAGCCTCCTGACCAGCGTCCCATCCATCAGAAAGCCCCCTCCGCCGGCATATGGAGGGTAGTATGTTTTATTATACATAGCCTGAGGGATGTAATATTTGTTGTCTTTGTTACGAATGGGCTTAGCATTAAAAATCACATCCCCCACAAACAGGTTCTTGTCATAGCCTCTGCTGTCCAGAAACTCAAAGAGGTTCTCCACGCTAACAAAGACGTCGTCGTCCCCCTTGAAGACGTAGCGGACTCTGGGGCAGTAAGTGTGAAACCACTTCAGAAAATGAGTCTCCTTGAGAGTCAGATTGAAGAAACTATCTAAGAAGTCCCACTGAAGAATATCCCCATAGATAGCGTCTTCATACTCCACGAGTTTTTGATGGTTTGCTCTTTCTGCTTCATTAGAGGGCGTGCCAAGCAGGAAGAGGGTCTTTACTCTTCTGCCATTCACCACCCGCTCTTTGCCCCACGTCTTTCGAATAACCTCTCTACGGTCGTGCTGGGTGGCCACTGACTTAATCACCATGAGCAGGTAGGTCTCCCCTGAGCACTTCTCCGGGTGATTGAGAAGCATGGGAAAGAGGCGACAGTGTCGATAAAGCAGAAACTGCTTAAAGTGGCCCTCCAGCCCGTTGTACCACGCCTGGCTCGAGAGGTTGAGGTTGGCGCTACAGTTGGAGCTGGTAACATCCCAGCTGCCTGGACTGTTTTCCTCGGTGATCCTGGGCTTCTGCATGGTTGGCTGAACTTTAGGCTGCGGTTTCTGTTCGCCAAGCTTCCAAAAGCTTCTGATACCCAGGTACGAGCGGGGCTCCTCTTCCTGGGCGGCTCCCGGCTCGACACCTTGAGAAGAATGCGTGCGAGCCACCCTCTCAATTTCGAAGGGAACCCCCATATTGATGCTCCCCTTCTGGACAACAGTCAGCCCTACCACGACCAGGAAGAACATGACAGTCATTCGCTTATACACTCTGTTGCGATCTCTGTTCATCCTTTGGGAGAGAAAAAAAAGGAGAAAAAAAACAAACAAACAGTTAAAGGCATTCAAGTTGGGAATCATTTTCTAGGAGTTATACCAGATGTTTGAAAATATCAAACAGTGAACTTACTCAGATTTGAGTATTTCTCTACAATTTAAAACATGGACAGCAAGACAAAAATTGTATGTTTGTGAATTATTGTCAGTACAGAACTGCATGTTTAAAAGATCCAGAAAGTAACATTTTCAGTTTATAAATCTGGCTAAAGCAATAAGGGGATGTTTAGAGTAGGGGTACTCCAATTTTTTTGGGTCTGGGAACCCCTGGGGGCAGGGGTTCACGGGACTTCCTCATAAACTTCATACTGATTAAAATAATTTACTCCCATTTTAACCACTGAATGCCATGGGATTTATATACATGTAGTCAGTATATTTTCTCTGCTTTATTGCAGACCTTGCATGCTAAAGCGTGCTGACCCCATTTTGAGAAACCCAATTAATATTACTATAAAAGAGGATCAGCTTTTCTTGCAACTTCTGTCAATGTAGTGTCATGCAGACAGACAACAAAACAATAAAAATCTTCTAAAATTGTATGAGATAGATAGATAGATAGATAGATAGTTAAAAAAAAACTTTTGTACATTTTTCCCCTTTGCTTGACAAAAGAAATCAGACACTTATTTTTTCACATGCAGAAAATATTGCACATATTTCTGATTAMAACTGTATGTTTGAAAGAGGAACAAGTGGAATGCACTACAGATTCTCACACTTCTATAAAGTCAAGCCCTGGCTTGTTTCATCCGGGACCCCCGACACGCTCTTCTTAAAGAAAAATAAATAAATAAATAACAGCAACTTACATGTCCTTTCTGTTCCAAACCAAGGTGGACGGTTGAACCCAGAAAAAAGCGGAGAAACGACGTCCAGCCGAGCGAAACAGTTCCCGTTTCTGCCGTTTTGCAAGTGGGGGGAGACAGAAACATAAGTGAGCGTCATCCGTTGAGCGGAATCAGTGTTCACGCAGGAAGTTGAGGGAGAGCAGACAGACAGAGGCGGTGTGAAGTGTTCTGATACTACAGAGTGCTGTGCTGTGAGGACCCATGCGCTCAGAACCGCTTTTAAAGACTCCGTTACGCACAGACCACATGGAACAAGATGTGGATAATGAATGAACTGCAGGCGAGGCAAGCATGACACCCAACTTACTACTCTATGCAAAACCCCTTAAACACACACACTTTATTTTATTCTATTTTTTTTTTTTTGTCTGAAGAACATGCCTCTCCTCATGGGAAAACTTTTACAAACTGCCCAGCATTAGTCCTCTGATAATCTGACAACTCCACCAGCTGTAAGAGTGGCTATTTTCTTCTATTATTTTTAGTTAGTTTTTAAAATCTGTAATGTATCTGTTTCTTATTATGCCTACCTCCTCCACTGAATCAAAATTAAATGAATGCTGCCATTATGTTACCATTTTGGTCAAACATTGTAAATGCCTTTTTCTATAATATGCATGCAATAATGTGAGATGCCACGCTCATAGCATATGTTGACTCTCAGCTACCACCACACAAAGTTTTAGCTCATTATCTGCAAATATAATGCATTAATTGCAAATTAATATTGTTAATGATATAATGTAAATATATCAAACCTGACCMAGTTGTAGCCCTTTTTGTGATGGCTAATATGGATTAGCTGTGGAGGCCATCTTAAATTMGATTGACTCCAAAAGTTGATCAACTATAAATATAGATCCAAGTGTCACTTACTGAGAGTTTCACCAAAATCTGTCCAGTGTCATAGTCTGTATTCATTCTCCTTGGTTTTCCCAGTGTTTTCTATGTTCCCCAGTGTGTCTCTGCCCAGCTGCTCCTTATTAGTCTGATTGTCACCCTTGTGTTTCTCCTCAGGTGTTTTCTGTTCAGTCATTAGTTTTCTGTGTATTTAAACCCTGTCCTGTCTCAGTCTTATTGTCGGATCATTGTTGTGTTTTGTTCCTGAGCTTTGTCTCCCTCGTGCCTGTGTTTTTGAGAACCTGTAAGTGATTTTTGAGCTGCCTCAACAGCATTTTCTATTATTTAATAAATCTTTTTGTCCCATTTTGAACCTGCCTGCGCCCTGGGTCTGTTCCTCCACCGCTCCTGATATCCAGTGGTTCATAAGATATTTTGTTAACAGAATAATAGGGTTGACACAAATACTTAACCCCTAAAGCATTATGCAAAAAATGTTCAACAATGTATAACATTCAGAGTATGTGTTGGGAATGACTCTCAGCTACTTCAACACCAAATTATAGCTCAATARCTGTAAAATTGGCTGAGTTACAGCYTTTTTGTGTTTATTAATTTTAGTTRGCTGTGYTGGCCAACTTTGACTTTGTTGACTCAAAAATGCAAAGAGTTGTAAGTGTGCATCCACTAAATACTTTCTGAAAGTTTCAATAAAATCTGTTWAGAATTTCGTGTGATATTTTGCTAACGGACAGGCACAGTTGACTCCAATAGTTTAAGGGAAATAAAACATGTCTTGTGCTATTTTAGTGCTCAGAGTATGTGTGAGGAATAACTAACCTATACTTCCACGCCATCATTTAGCTCAATAATTTTTAAATTGATGAAGTTAAAGTCATTTCTGTTTACCGTAGTTGCAAGCACAGAAACTTGCATTAGACTTATTCCAGAAGTTAACCAGTTTTCCATATATATTCAGTGYTTACTTCCTGGAAGTTTCACTGAAATCTGATTGAGTTTTTTTAAATTTATTTTTATTATTTGCAAATGATTCATCATCATCATCCTCAGCAGCAGTCAACATTAAAGGACACTCCACCATTTTACATAAAACACATTAAATGTTACAAACAAAACATTCTGGAGCAAAAGGGATTTTGAACTTAGGCTACAAGAACAGAGTTCCACAACGTTCCAAACATCTGCATCAAATGGAGAAAATATCACTAAGTTTCATTTATAGCAGCTCTGGGTTTTACTGGAAAGCAAGAAAAATATAACGTGCAATAAAAAAAACCGTTATCAGCTCTTGTTTGAAGTAGCTACAAAGGAATCAATACGCAARCTTTCCTTTTTATTTCAACGTAATGAGTCACAAAGATAAAAAAAAACTGTTTTTTATTACTGCTGGACCTTTGAATCCACTTTATTACATGTGCCTCTGCTACTGAATATTATTTTAACAAGACATCAGTTGCTGCAAAGGTGCAAAGGTACACACCTCAGGTGATGTGTCAGAACTTAAATTGCAATTGTACTGACTTTTTCAAATTAATTATCATGCAAAACATATATTCTCTGTGTGAGTCAAAAATTGAATCAACCATTGTGATCTTTTATTTTCTTTGAGCAATGCAAGCAACAAAACCCAACGTGGTAGCTGGTGGCTCAAATGAAAACACACAAGTTCTGGACTTTAATCCTTATTGACTAACTAATCATTTTTGCAAAAGAAAGAGAAGAGCTGAAAGAAAAAGTTTTCAAAACAGTTTCTCAAACACTTTGTTCCCCTATGGTTTATGGGCTGCTTTTTGTGGTTTGCCACGTGCATTTCCTCCTCAGACACAACACGCATGTGTTAGCTTACTTTCCATTTTAGCAACTAGAAACTGAAATATAAAGATCAGAGCAGGAAGTGGAGATTTGAATGTCTGTGTTCCCCTAGAATCAACTGAACAAAACAACTTCACAGCTRGGAGAAATGTGCTATAGTTCTGCAGTCATGGTAGATTTAGACTAAAACACGTTAAATGAAAACCTTAATTTTAGTCACTTTGTGGGGAGAAAAAAAGGTAAAACTCCAAAAAGTTATTACCAWCTACTAAAGAAAATGAATTATCAAAATAAAGTTGTTATTTTTTTTTTTTTGCATTTTGATACATTTACTAATTAATATCCTTTAGTGCACCCTCTGTTTGTTTGTATTGTTTGTTCTGACACAGAGATGTGTGCATGTCTTGCTGTACTGGAAGCAAATTCCACCAACTTGTTGTGTGGTCATTAATAAATGAATCTGAATTTTAAAATGTTCTAAAAGTCAAACTGAAGTTCTTATTTTTGACCTCAAACAAGACACTTGCACTTCTCTTCCACACACTCAGACAAAAACAAAGGAGGATCCTGACGGCTGTAATGTCCGTCGCCCAGCTGTAATCACAGTCGTACTCAATCCTCGCTGTGACAAAAAGCACATTTCTGCCACGGACAAAGAACAACAAACAGTCTCTCTGCTTCAAAACAGGAATTGTCAGGCTGAACACAGCTGTGATTCCAAATCCCTCCTTCCTCTCCATCTCTCTCCGCTTCCTGAATCCAACCAGCCATCCTTCTCAGGCACATGTGCATCCTGTTGCCTGTTTGCACTGTTTTTTCCCCCCACTTTTGGCCCCCTCTCCTTCCCCCTCCCACTCTGCCAAATCTGTTTCTGCATGCTCTGCAGAGGAGTGAGGTGTTGACGGACCTCACAGTGCCCCATTTTCCTTTGAATAATAAGACAAAGTTTGTCCCTGAAGAAAAGTGACACAAAGCCTTGTTGCCTGATTTTAAGAACTGAAAAGATTAAAGCTGGGTTTACAGCAGACAACAAAAAACAAGAAAGCTGATCTAATCAAACTTTTTTAAAATTTATCAGTTGATTGCATTGTAGACCAGASAGAAAAAGGCTGATTTAACATACAGCGTTATCAATTAGAGGGAAACAAGAACCAAAGTAATCTAATCCAACCAATGGTACAAAGTACTTCAAGGAGACATGTCATACTTTAAATTTTTTTCTTTTTCACATTTAAATCATTTAACTGGGGTCTAAAGTGAATCTGCAATGCTTTGGTCTGAATTCCTCCTTATTGTAACTCCACAAGCCCCTCTTTCTAAGGTGTGTCTCAGATCAACGCATTTTGACGCTGTCTCTTTAAATCCAAACAAGGAGCTTCACACCACGCCCCCCAGCCTCTGCGGTTCATTCTAGTTTGATAGAGGGGTTTGTGGCTCTATTGCGATACTATATTTATTTACAAATTATTTAAAAGTTGTAAACAAGGGAAGACGTGTCCATCCAGCCTCACATGTTGGAGACAGTCTGTATAAGTCCAAACCTTATTTGGCAGCTCTGTTGCAAATTGATTTGATTTAATGAGAAATGGTTTTGAGCAGGACACGGAAACCAAGTGAAAGAATTGTTCTTGGCAGGTAATTGCACAAACTGACTCCTCAGTTTTACACTTGTCATGTTGACTGGAACTCTGTCAGCTATTACTTTCCTCAAAAGCATTATAAACAATTATTTTTTGGTAATTAATATTAAAACTAGCTGATGGTCTAAGAATTTAAGGATGGTGAGGAAGCAGTGTTGTAAGAAATATAAAAGACTTCATATATACTGTATATATA